CAACCAACCAATCAGCTTCTTACATCTAATTAAACAACCAACCAATCAGCTTCTTACATCTAATTAAACAACCAACCAATCAGCTTCTTACATCTAATTAAACAACCAACCAATCAGCTTCTTACGTCTGATTAAAAGGACAGTTGGGACAGTTTGAAGTGCGGTTCTGTGTAAAAGTGATAAACAGTATCTTACCTGTTGTAKATAAAAACACATTAACTCTGATGAGCTAACGGCTAGTCTGAACATGGATGACTCTCAGCTACTACCACTGTTAGTTTAACATAACAAAAATATGATGATCCCAGGATGAACCAGAAGTGCTACAGCTAGCTGCCACTAGATGCAGATTATTTTTCCCAGGGCGCGATTTCAATGTTCACACAGAACTGCACCTCAAAATGTCTGAATTACCCCTTTAAAGGTGACTTCTACCTGAGAGCGGGACTGGCAGGACGGACCGGCAGAAGGACAGCACCACGGGACTCGAGATTCCGAGTTTGATGATGGAGACCCGAGGAAGAGCCTGGAGACGAGAGGACAACAGGAAATTAGAAACAAAATATTTCAAATTAAATTTTTAAATTTTATTTTATTTTATTGGACAAACCCCGGCAACCGTCGTGTTGAAGATGGTTCCTGAGATGAGCAGGAGATGCTTCAGAGACACTTCCTGACAGGAGGACAGAGACAAGAAGACAGAGATGAGACAGTCCTCTGGAGGACATGTCCCTGCTGAAGGACCAGGACTTGGCTCAGATCCTGGTCCTTGTAACCCCGCCCACCTCACCTGCTCGCCTGAAGAGTTCCTGTTGATGAAGCTGAAGGAGGCGTTGTAGGTCTGCAGCATGAACTGAACACAACAAATTACAACTTTATTTATTATTTATTTATTTATTTTTATTTATTTATTTATTTAATTAATTTAAATCTTAAACAGGACGTGAAGTTTTGATGAAGCAGAGTTTACCTGGTAACACAGGGTCTGATGGATTGAGAGCCCAGGTATGAAGTTGCCCACAACCTGACACACAGACACACTTTAATGATCAGTTTGAACGCTTTATTCTGAAAATATGCAGGAAGTCGTGTGAAACTGAACCCACCAGAGGTCCTATTACTGGAAAATATGCTGAGGAAGACAAGAAACCATGACTCAGCAGATTTATTAAAAACAACTGATTTAAGATCTGACAAAGACTCAAGACTTGGACTGGTTTTGTAATTTCACATATTTGAGTTGTGCAGATTTGATTTTACTAATAATCTGTAATCTATAATATATAATCTGTAATCTTTAATCTACAATCTGTAATGTACAATCTGTAATCTGTAATGTATAATCTGTAGTCTGTAATGTATAATCTTTAATCTATAATCCATAATTCTATGTAATCTGTAATGTATAATCTGTAGTCTGTAATGTATAATCTGTAGTCTGTGATGTATAATCTTTAATCTATAATCCATAATTCTATGTAATCTGTAATGTATAATCTGTAGTCTGTAATGTATAATCTTTAATCTATAATCCATAATTTTATGTAATCTGTAATGTATAATCTGCAATGTATAATCCATAACCTTAAATCTTAAATCTATAATCGATAATCTATAATTATAATCTGTAACCTGTAATCTATAATTATATGTAATCTGTAATGTATAATCTGTAATCTGTAATGTATAATCTGTAATATGTAATGTATAATCCGTAATATGTAATGTATAATCCGTAATATGTAATGTATAAGCTGTAATCTTTAATTTGTCATCTGTAATCTATATGTAATCTGCAATCTGTAATGTATAATCTGTAACCTGTAATCTATAATACATATGTAATGTGTAATCTATAATCTGTAACCTGTAATCTATAATCTGTAACCTGTAATGTATAATCTATAATGAATCCATAAAAACTGATCTTAGAGGTACCTGGGGGTCTGAAGGCCAGAGGAAGAACTTCACCAGAATCTGAATGAACCGACGACTGAAACACAGAGAAGATTTATTCATTCCTGGACCAGGACCAGGGTTCTGACTGGACCAGGGTTCTGATTGGACCAGGGTTCTGATTGGACCAAGGTTCTGACTGGACCAGGGTTCTGGACCATTGCAGACCAGCTGTTGTGTTTGGGCTCATTGGGCCTCGTGCTAGAACATGTTCATAGTCTTCTCCTAAATGTTCGTACAAAGGGTTCGTACGAACATGTCACGTCAGATTCAACAAACTCTTCTATCTTCAGGAAAAGTGCGTAAATG